TTAACTCTTAATAGAGTTATTGCCCTTTCATGATGATTTTTACCAAAAAGTTACCATTGTTGAAGATGCAGGTGAGGGATACAGCCTCTTTAGAGCCTCTAGTTTTGTGTTATTGCCCATTATCTTGAAAAGTATAGAATAGATATATAGACACTTCAAATAGCAAAATCGATAAGCATGGCAAGATCTACAATTAGGTCAACATGATCGAAATCTTCCAATGACTCCTTATTAGAGTTATTGCCCTTTAATGATGATTTTTACCAATTTTTTTTTGCGTTTTTGCTTATTAACTTGAAAATTAAAAAGATAGATAAATACTTAAGAAATTATTAATTATTTGCAAGATAAGATCGACAATCAAGTAACATTTTTGTCGAAATCGTTACTAGACTCTTTATAGGAGTGATTGCCCTTCAATGATGATTTTTTACCCATTTTTGTTGTTTGTGGGAAAACTAAAGAAGATAGAGAGAAACTGTAACAGAAAAAATGATCAGCAATACAAGATTAACAAAACTAAAAGAATAGATTTCTGTCATGAATGCTAGTCTGTAGAAATAAGAAGATGTGGTATGAGTGCCAATGAGACAACTCTCCATCCAAGTCACAATGTGTAAAAAGTCATAGTACAGCCTTCAACACGGAGCCTTGGCTCACACCGAACAGCAAGCTCTAAAGGGCCACAGAATGACTAGTGTAAAACAATTCAAAACCAATGGTGTGATCTATATAAAAAACGAGAAACACTTATGAGCCACACCAACAAATAACAACCACTGAACAACAGGCTCCTGACTTAGGACAGGTACATACAAATGCAGCGGGTTTAAATGTTTTAATGGCTCCAACCTATGACACAATATAAATACAATATTAAATAAAATGATCCGCTAGGGCGCAGCTTGATACGACCGCAGAGGTCGAACCCTGAACAGTTGGGGCAAGTATGGACACAACATTCAAGCTTGATACAGCACTGAATTTGGATTGTAATTAAATATTTGACACAGCATAGGTTTCTGACACAGAATGAATGTGGTCTAAGAACTTAAAATTTTTTAATTTATCTATTCAAACCATATCATTATTATTTGCTTTTATATATAAATCAGAAATAACCAATTTAAAATGGAAAATTTTAAAGAATTAAAATGAAAACAAAATCCCCCCCCCCGAATTTTTTGAACCCCCTTATGATTCATCACCCCCAAACTCAATCTCAGCCTTCCCTTTGTGGTATGGTACCTTGCAGTACTGTTACTGTTTTTACATGTGATGGACTGTGAAACTAAGATCAGGAGTTTGGGAAATTTTGGTCAGGAGATTAGGACTCAGATCAGGAGGTTTTTAATCGACATAAATTATGTCGTAAATGTAACCGTGTGCTGTAGAAATTGTCTGTTAAAGTGTGTTTTCTTCAACTTTCCATCCGAATGTATTATGTTTATAGTACCCTTGTACTTATAAATTTTCTCTATCTTTAAACTTTCAACTTGTTCAATCTAACATTCTTCTTTTTTAGTATGTTCTTTAATAAATTTTTTAGGTCATATCTTTTTTACCATTATTCATTGCAATCAGAACAATTGCTTATCTATCTGCAAGTAGATATTTTTTTATATCTTTTAGCAAGTAGATTTTTAATGCATGATAAGTAACACATTCAAACTGTAAACAAATGGAAGTTTTTAACGACCTTGACTGGATATACATCCCTCGCACGGTCGGTTCAAACTGTAAACATGGGTCATAGTTATTATATAAATTTCAATTTAAGCCTTGAAAGGAAGTATAGAACCCTTAAATAATTTTCAAATTATTATTTTTTTTATTTGTCCTAAGACATTTAAAATCATTTAATTACCATCCTTTTATGATTACTTGTTCAATTTATATTTTATTTATATTTTTTTTTAAATTTACATTATTTAAAGGAAAGTAACTTAAAACAGGATAAATCAAGGGAAGTAACCCAACATTCATTTTAAATACACAAAGTTTTATTACACAACGGCAGTTAGCCTGAGGTAAAAATCGTTGATTACCAGTATGTTTGACACCCAAGGTGACAAGTGAAGCCATATAATTATGCATGTTAATTGATTTACAGGTAAAATATAATTTCAGGTAATGTCAGTTACACCAGATATGTTGGGCTGAAATTTTTCATTCATGAAATATTTCATACACGGGATTTTTTTGTCTTCAACGGGAGGTCGGGAGGAGACCCCTGAAAACGGAATTATTGTACTCCCGTCGGGAGGTTCACATGTACAATTTCAGAGAGATCCATACACTTGAACACAAGTTATTGTCTGGAAACTAGAAAAATGCTTGTTTTTTGGCCCCAAATTCCTAAACATTTAGGGCAATTACCCCCAAACTCAAACCCAGCTGTCCCTTTGTGATATGGAACCTTGCAGTACAATTTCATAAAGATCCATACACTTACACACAAGTTATTGTCCTGAAACTAGAAAAATGCTTGTTTTTTTGCCCCTTTATGGCCCCTAATTCCTCAAATTTCTAGGGAATTACCCCCAAAATTAATCCCAGCCTTCCCTTTGTGGTATGGTACCCTGCAGTACAATTTCAGAGAGATCCATACACTTGAACACAAGTTATTGTCTGGAAACTAGAAAAATGCTTATTTTTGGCCCCTTTTTGGCCCCTTATTCCTAAACGTTGTGGGCAATTACCCCCAAAATCAATTCCAGCTTTCCCTTTGTGATATAGAACCTTGTAGTACAATTTCATAAAGATCCATACACTTACACACAAATTATTGTCATGAAACTAGAAAAATGCTTGTTTTTTTGCCCCTTTTTGGTCCCTAATTCCTAAAATTTGGAGGTAATTACCCCCAAAATCAATCCCAGCATTCCCTTTGTGATATGGAACCTTGTGGTACAATGTCAGAGAGATCCATACACTTACACACAAGTTATTGTCATGAAACTAGAAAAATGCTTGTTTTTTGCCCCTTTATGGCCCCTAATTCCTAAAATTTGGAGGCAATTACCCCCTAAATCAATCCCAGCATTTGTGATATGGAACCTTGTGGTACAATGTCAGAGAGATCCATACACTAACACACAAGTTATGTCTGGAAGTTACAAAAATGCCTATTTTTGGCCCCTTTTTGGCCCCTAATTCCTTAACTGTTGGTACCATAACCCCCAAAATCAATCCCCACCTTCCTTTTGTGGTATTGAACCTTATGGTAAAATTTCATAGAGATCCATTCACTTAAACTAAAGTTAGAGTGCGAAAACCAATGTGTCTTCGGACGACGACGACGAGACGACGACGACGACGCCAACGTCATACCAATATACGACCACAAAATTTTTTTGTGGTCGTATAATAAAAAAGGGCAGATGTAAAACAATGTTAAAAAATAAAACTATAACCTTGGACAAAATGGCGTTAAATGAAATAACGTACAGAGGTAAATTTAATTATAATAACTTTGTTGTTAGGAGTACGGAAATATTTTTTACAAAATAGATAAATTTGTTGTTCATAGTAATAATAATAATAATAAATTCTTTGTTTAAAGAGGGTAACTCAATTAGAAGTAGTCTAATTTTCATTGAGGCCCTCAAACAAATAGTACGAGAACAGAAGTGAAAATTTATCGACATACTAAAAACTTATCAAAGGTAGTACATATTAAAAATAGTGAGACGAGATATAACATAAACTAAGTAAACTAATCCACAATATTAAAGATTGTCCATTGTAGAAGACGCCCATAAACCTGGGTGAGCGACACAGGCTCTTTAGAGCCTCTTGTTTGTCATGTGAAATAATCACTTATGAGTAATAGAATAACTATATTTGGTATGTGGGACCCTAAACAAAGTCTTTATGTCCGTCGGCAGAGAGGGTTCACCTGACCTCAACCTCATTTCATGGATTAGTGATCATGGTGAAGTTTTCGTGGTCAAGCCTGTATCTGCAATACTATAAGCAATCGGTTAACTATATTTGATGTGGAGAATGATTGTAAGGCGCACAAGTCCGACTGGCTGGTTTCATCTTACATTGACCTAATTTTCGTGGTTTATTGGACAATGATTAGCTTTTGTGGTTTGGTTTATTTCTCAGATATAAAAAGTAATAGGGCCACTATATTTGGTGCATGAAATGATTGTAAGGTGTACGCGTTTGTCTGGCAGGTTTCATATGACCATGGCCTCATTTTTATATTTCATTGGTCAATGTTAAGTTTTTGTGGTTTGTCAGTTTACATTAGTGATGTTAAGTGTATGTGATACTTGTAGTAAAATCTTCATAATACAGACTTTCAACATAAATGTAATCTTGATAAGTAAAGCAGGCGGGACATTTCTAGAGTTGCACTCTTTTTGTGTTTTTGGGTTGGTGTCTCATTGATGTGTTGGAGTAATAAAAATTACTTATAGCTGCATATTGTATCATTCATTCCTGATCATATTCATCCTGTAAACCGACTTAATTTTATTTCGATTCACCTTGTTATGTTTGAAAACAATAAACTTGGAAAACACAATATATATAATATGTATATATTTTGAATATTGCAAAATACTTCATAAAAAATCTTTCTAACTATATGGTTTCACTTAACTGCATATTTTAAAGATATACCAATAATTGCTTTTGGGTAAAAAATAGGACACACTAAAACATTATTTCTCCATTTTTTAAAATACTTTTACTTGTAAAGCTGATACCTCGTTTTATTGGAAGACAAATATATGTATAAGTTACACCCATGAGGGTGTTAGTCGGATTGGGTATATCTAATTAAAACCAGGGTATTATGATCGGCGTTTCGCATTATGGTTGATACAAAATTAGACATAACAAGAATTTAAGAGGGGGCCTTTCAGCTATTTGACAATTAAGATCATATCAAAGTGTGTAAGAGATTGTATTGGTGTAAAGAATTTAAACTTTTAATAAGTTAAAAATAACTCTTGAAATACAATAGTTAAAAGATACGAACTGCGCCAGTCTAGATTGTACAAAATAAGGAAGTAAAATCCGGTGCAGACATATTGGAAGTGTTACAGCTAAGTAATGGCTTCTGGAGGGGGGCAGATTCCAGTTTTCTGTAAACTTTGTGAGGAGGACACCAAAAGTAATTGGAAGTGCTTAAACTGTGACATGTTCATGTGTGACAAGTGTAAAGAGAAAATTCATGTGAAATTCAAATTTGCCAAGGATCATAAAGTTGTTTCTATACAGGAGGTTGGGCTTCATGCAGAAGAAATAGATTTTTCAAATTTAAGTTGCAAAACCCACACAAGACAATCATGTGTGATGTTTTGCAAATCGTGTGACTGTTTAGTATGTCCCCTATGCATCTCTGAAACCCATAATGGACATGGTTTGGTATCCATTAGAGAGGGATATGAAATCAGAATGGATAAATTGAAGAAAAGCCAAAAGAATATTGGCCATAATATAGATGAGCTGAAGAAAAGAAAAGCAGAAGTTGATGGTGTTGAAAACACTGAACATTCAAAATTAGAAAATACCATTACAGAAATGGAAGCACAGAAAACCGCACTTAAGAATGAAATTGATACACATATAGATAAGTTAAATTATGAAATAATGAAAAGATGGGAAGCGCTTCATCAGTCTACAAAAAAAGAAGGAAATGAAGTGACACGGCTCATTGGGAGTCTGGAATCCAGAAAGACAGAAGTTTATGAAGCCATCCAATCAAAGGATGCGGGAAAAGTCTTTGAGGATGAATTGGGGCTAGTTAAATCAATGAAAGCAACTCTTGCACCATCTCGCAGAAAGTTTGATTCTATTCCAACATTTCTTCCTGGACAGATATCTCCTTATAACATTGGTACATTAGCAAATGTTTTTACCAATAGTGACATCAAGATTCGTAAACAATTTGACACTAAATTATCTCATGTTTATTTTATGGCAGCGTGTTCTGAAGATACATTGTGGATTTCTGACTCTAATGTACTACATAAAGTTAAAATAGAAAGGAATACTATGAAGATAATTGATACAAAGGACATTAAAATCTATGATATGGCATGTACTCCATCTAAAGATCTCCTTATAGTGTCGAAAGGATCTGCACTTAAGGAAATCAGTGGTGAAACAGGTGAAGTGACCAATTCTAAGTATGAATTGAAAGATTTACTGCTGTCAGCTGTTCATGTAAGCTCAGATGGAAAAGTCACTGTTGGTGGTTTTCAAGGGAAATTATGCTACCCACCTGTGGGAAGACGTGCTGTGATCGTTATGGATAGAAATGGGAAGTATGAAACTACTTATGAATATGACAAACAAGGGAATCCTATATTTACAAACATTTGTAATATAACCAGAACAAAGAATGGTAACATCTGTATAGTAGACAGGTTATCTAAAGATGCCAGAGGCAGGGTGGTAATATTGAGTGAGGATGGTGATGTTCTGAATACCTTCAATGGCCATCCAGAAGTAAACTACTCTTTCCAACCAATGCATTCATTCACTGTCATATCTGAAAGTATTATAGTTTCAAATTTGAGTCATAGCATTTTATACTTTCTTAACAATTCTGGAAATTTTATTGGATTGTGTGACACAAATAAAACAGGAATATTACATCCATACTCTTTTTCTAGTACAAAAGCTGGATATATCTACATTGGATGTACAACACCAGAAGGCAGTAGTGATAACGCCAAAATATATGAAGTGAATATTTTGTGAGTTAGAAACATTTCAGTTAATTTGATGAAATATAGAGTCTTTTGATAGTAATATGTAATGCTTCTGTCTTGTAATATGCCAAAATTAACATTTTTGCAAAATAACAAGTTCACCAAAAATAGATCTAGTAAGCTCAATGCTTAAATGGTTCAACTTATTTGTTGATTACTTTTTCTTGAAGTCCTAGATAGAGAAGCTTTTGCCATAATTTGGCCACTATTATTTCTTTCCATTGTATTGTCCAGGATTGATCATGTTGATGTCAAATTTCTGAAATTACATTCCTAGTAATGTTATGATGTTGTAATTATTATGTTTATTTAGCTTGGCCTAATTTGTTTTGTGTGGCCTTATAGTTGTTTACAAAATAATGTTATAACTGTGCAGTTTAGAAATCACTGGAACATTCATAGATACTGATGGAATGATTTGAACTTTCTATTTGACTTGCATAATGATTCCCGAATGATCATAATCTACGATGTGTAATTTTAACTTTTATCGTATTCCAGAACTAGTAGAAGTTTCCGTTCTATAATTTTCTAGGAGTTTCCATTCTACAGTGTTCTAGAGGTTTCCGTAACAGCTATATATACCGAAACCGATATTAGACTTATCAGACATTAATATACTTGAATTCTTAGAAGTTCTCTGGAGTTGTGGGATTGACATTTTTATTTACGTTAACTACATCATACTAGATTGAAAACTTATTGGACATATTCGATAACAGTTAAGAGAAGAATTCCGGATAAAGAAAAGACAAAGGATCGGACTTAAATTTTTACAGTTGAGTTGACATTTCAATTTGTATAATATTTCTTGTAAACTTGTGTATAATAAATCTTGTTAAATTTTATTAGTGATTTGTGTCTCTTGTTGGCTACAATTTAAAGGTGATTTGTGGCCGTAATAGTAAATATTCAATTCAGTGTTAGTTGCTTAATGCCTGCTTAACATCCAGTGGGAAATATTTCCTGTGTAATCAAGTTGTTAAAACATGTATCCTGATCTGTGATAGACTTGATTTGAAGCAAAAGTATAAAGAATTCCAAAATAAAATATTAATTAATAGAATTAGGAAATGATGGAATAAGGAGATGTGGTAAGATTACTAATGAAACAATTACTGCTATCCATTAAAGACCAAAAGGACAAAGCACAGAGTATAGAAATTAGAAACAATACACACAAAATAACATACACTCCAAGATATATTGTCAAATTCGTTTTTCAAATAATTAAAATTTGCAATTTAAAGAAATTATAAACGTTTGCACGAGGTACACGAAAAATGTGAACGAAATAGTGTGGATTAATTAGGTAGGCGAGGCTAATAATTCTGTAATCTTTGGTTGCTTTCATATGGCATGGGTTGCATTCATACGGTACGGGTTGCATTCATACGGCATGGGTTGAAAGCATATGACAGTTCCAAATGATTCGTCTCTCAGCCAATAAAAGATCAGCATTTGTATGAATTGAACATCTACTGTAAATATGAACCTTTAATTGTTATTGAAAGTGCCTTATATGAATCTTTTATCAAAATTATCTTTGAAAATTATAAATCAAACTTTGTTCTTCTTTGCACAGATGTAATGTTGTGAAATCAAATTTGCATTGATGTGTGAGCTTTTATTCCAAGTTAAAGGTATCACTGTAAATTTAAGATGAAGAACAGCAATAATAGTACTGATGTCATGGATGAGTGTAGGGATTTTGTGTCATCAATAATACACAATATTCCTTCTTTTCCTTTGGTAATTTCATAATCAAAACCCCCATAAAAGGCCTCATACCTGGTTACAAGATTCGAGGTCAATTCATTTGATGTGCATAGCTATTTCCTTGAAGCTGCCATCAACAATACAAACAGATATGTAGATAAAATTTGTACCCATACTGATGTCAGAGTGATATGATGTTATTACACGGTAGAAGCTTGTGTCAGAGTTTCTCTTTTAACTGGTTGATGAGGTATTCCACATATTAAAAAGGAAATACAGCAATTTGTCATTTTAGAACATAAAGAATTCTGGATAATATTTTCGAAATCTTACACCATATCATTGTGATTGGTTAATAATGTCCTTAACAATGGAAATTCAACCAATGCCATGGCATTATTTTCATTTTTGGAAATGAACTATGAAATTACCAATAGTCCTCCTGTAGGTTCTGAAATGGGAAATTAGAAGTACTTTTGGTTTCCCCTCTAAATTAATTCTTTGCTGTCATTTATATTTGAATCTGTAATATAATTGCAGAAGTTTTTATGGTTACAGAATGAGAATGTAATAGGTTGGATATATTTTCAGGTCTGTAGAATGTTAGATTGACGGTATGGTAATGGCCAGGGTTATCATGGTTACAGGCAGTTGTAATGGTTAAACAATTAATTGCCATGATAAAAGGGGTCATATAAAATATCATATTTATGATGCAATTTTAATTAGCAACATTTACTTATGGCTAAATGAGACTACTGGTTGTCATGTTCTCAGGGGTCACAGGGTATAAGGCATTGTGAATTCTTTTAGTTTTTTTTTTGTTTTAGGAGGCCGGCATCTTTTTTTTTTTTGTTGATAAATTGCAAGTTTTTTTCTTGAATATAAGTAATTTGTTTTCAATAGGATTGTAAAAAAAAAATAGTTTGTTTCTAATGAGTATTAATATATTATAAAAATATCAATTTGGAACGAATATTTTTGTTAAAAAAAGAGCTTTTTGATTATTTTTATTAACAGCACAATATTTATTCCAAAAAATCCCAAGACCACGGTCTAACTAGTAACACAAAAGATGAATGATCTGTGCCTCATTGTGGTTCCAGGATGTGATTATGTTGTAATGTATATCAGATGATAGTCATAATAATCGATGATAACCAATGAATCAGATAGTGATACTTATCAATGAATTATATAGTCATGATAATCAATGAATCCGCTACTCATAATAATCTATGATAATCAATGAATCCGATAGTCATGATAATCGATGATATTCAATGAATCCGATAGTCATTTGATTGCTTATACCTGGGAGGCTTTAGTCTTATTATAGGTAAAAGTTTGCACTATTTGTGATCATATTAATCAACAGAAAATTAGCATTGCCTGTCATGCTTCCATAAAATAAAATTAATCAATCAAAACTTGAGCCACCATACTTTTCTTCAAACTAAATTTTGGACGCAAATTGATTTGCAATATAAGATAAGTCTCGACATAATACTGATTTCAGAATGACAATTTAACAGTTTTGTTATTCGCCATATCTTCCTTATTTACTTGGAAACAGTTTTAAGATGTCGTGTCATGTTCTGTATCCGTACTTCGGTACTGACATGATTTATAACAAACCTTACTAGAATTGTCCGTTAACAAATTTTGAAATTATAAAGAAACTAAGGTTTCAACTCCCACCGGCAAAGTTGACTATTTTTCTATCATATAGCTTTTCAATTGTTTCGGTTCTTATACATCATTGGATTTCAGATATTCGGCTTAGGGCGTTCCTGGTGAAGGTATTTCCAGAAGTGACGCATGCAATTTATAACGTATTGTTTTCATTTTTAAATCAATGGCATACTTCCTATTGAGGTCCGTTCGATTCATGATTAATGGACGTCTCAACAGTAATGCAAAGTGGCCGGTATCTTGAAAACAATATTGATTCAAAAGATGATACACTACATTTTTTATAAATACTAAGTTGTGTAAAATACATTTTTGTTGTCTATCCAAAACATGTACTTATTTTCTGAATCTTATATAAGAGTATATTTCCACTGATCACCAAGACTTTTGCTGGAAAGTTTAAACAATTAAGTCAGATTGTAAGAACATGCATTGTGATCATGACATTAGCTCATGGCCCTTATGACGACCTGCACCAAATGGTTAATATATAGTGTGCATTTCAGTTTGTTAGATAATGTTATGTTGCTGTAAAGATCTTTTCTTGCCTGAAGTGACCAGGCAGTGACCGTGAAATATATTCACTGGCTAAACTCCCTTGTCAATTTGAATTAGGAATTGGATGGCAGATCTTTATTTTTTCTGTATAATTATCCACAACGTTTATAGAACTGATAATTTAGAGCTTGTATAGACAGCTGTCTGCTGACTCTAGATATCTTTCGAATATTGTTGTGGTTGGGTTGATGTCTCATTGGCAAATACCCCACATCTCCTTATCGTCTTAACAGTTTTGTGTTTTCACTCTGAAATTTTCTATCCGTCTTATGCGTACTGTTGTTTGTCTATTCCCATTTTAGCCATGTTGTGGTCTGTCCTATGACTATTAATTGCCTTTTTGATATCTTCTTACTTTTTATAAACTCCCTCAGAAAAAAAATTACAGACATGGAGTTGTGATGAGATGATTGAAGCTGTCAATTTTCTCCTGGATAATATTTATGTACGTTTCGGCAATAAAGTTTACCGGCAGGTTGTAGGTATTCCTATGGGCGCCAATTGCGCCCCTTTAATAGCAGACTAGTTCTTGTACTGTTATGAATCACGGTTTATGACCAAACTTAGTAAAGACCCGTCTAAATCTTTCCTTTCTTGGGCGATGATGTTCCTTTGGCACCATCTTACGGTGTTTATGTATCACAACTCGTTCGCTTTCCCCATGTCTGTTGTGACGTTTTGGATTTCAATGAACATAATCTATGTATTACTGGTAAATTATTAAGTCAGGGATTTTGTTACCACAAATTACTTAAAACCTTTACTGAATTCTTCCAAAGATATAAAAATTGGGTTTGGAAGATTGGTTGTACCTGTAGAAAATTTATTTTTAACGGGATAGCACATCCTAATTTTTACGAAGATGTTGTTTACCGAGCCCGGAAATTTAGATATGATCCGAGTAAACTTATCGACCCTTTAAATAAACTTATTCTAAAAGGTTACCGATTCAACACTATAATTAGATCTTTGAATATTGTTTTTATTGGTATCAATATTGTTATCAATAAATTAAAATCAGACTAAATATTATTTGTATATACATATAGACATTCATGGCTGTACAATCTGTCTATACGTGTATCTTTTTGTATATGTGTTTTTCACTTACTGTTAATGACGACTTTACACTAAATCCATTGGCTGTTGGATGTGTACTGATTGATATTTTAATCTTAGATGCATGATTTTTTTATTAGTTGTTATTGGCTTTGAACTAGCTGTCAGTAACAGCGAGTACTCTCAGATCTGTACTTAGTGTCTATTTGTTGTGAAGATGTATAAGTACCCTGCCACGTCCCCTCTGTGTTTTTGTACGATTTATTTCTGCTTTGTATCGATCTGATGAGTTCAGCCCTTTTCAACTGATTTGTATAGTTTGTTCTTATGTCGTGCTGTTACACCACTGTCCCAGGTTAGGGGAAGGATAGCGCGCCTTCAAACTAGTTTAATCTCGCCAAATTCTGTATGTGCCTGTCCCAAGTCAGGAGCCTGTAATTCAGTGGTTGACGTTTGTTGCTGTATATCATATTTGTTTTTCGTTCATTATTTTGTACATAAATCAGGCCGTTAGTTTTCTCGTTTGAATTGTTTTACATTTGTCATTTCGGGGCCTTTTATAGCTGACTATGCGGTATGGGTTTTACTCTTTGTTGAAGATCGTACGTTGACCTATAGTTGTTAATTTCTGTGTCAGTTGGTCTCTTGTGGAGAGTTGTCTTTTTGGCAATCATATCACATCTTCTTATTAATATATTAGACAATTATAGACATGATGCAACAGAATAATTTGTTATGTGTGAACAAAATGAGATGTTGGGAATTTGTTTATTAGACAAGCTTACCAAAAGGCACAAACAAAATCAAAAGACATTTAGAGTTCAAATTATACATGTACAGATTAAGTTAACAAAGCTTTCCTTATTTAAAAAATAATGATACACGTAATATGCATGTATCTGCATTATAGAAAGTTCGATGACCCAGCCTGCCGACAAACATGGCCGACATGTCAAAAAATTAAACATAGGGGTAAAATGCAATTTTTGTCTTTTATCTTGAAAATAGCCAAAGACATAAACAATCCGACGGGACAAAAATGTTCAGAATGATGAGATCTGCCTAATGTCTATCAACTTTATAAATGTCAGATGACTTCTTATAGGAGTTATTACCCTTAAACGACGAATTTTACATTTTTTTTTTCATTTTAGAAAAAAATGATCAGCAAGACTACATATAAGTCAAATGATAGCAATTGTCAGTGGACACCTTATTGAAGTTATTGCCCTTTAATGGTGATTTTCCCATTTTTTGGCATTTTGGCCTATTTTCTTGAAAACAATAATGAATAGACGGAAACTTTAAAAAGCAAAAATAATCAGCAAGATAAGATCTACAAATGAGCCATCATGGCTGAAATCTTCAGTTGACTCGTTATTGGAATTATTGCCCTTTAATGATATTTTTGTATCATTTATTTGCATTTTTTTTAATATTTATCTAATTATGAAAGCGGTAACAGGCTTTGAGATTTCTGTATTCCAATAAAAAAATGTTCAGTCATGTCACGCAAGTAAACCATGACATATGTATGTTGTTTATTTACACACATTATAGGAAAACCCTTCGCAATGGGAAACCAGCAACTGTTAAGTTCGAAACTAATTTGTCAGGGTCATATATTCCTAAACAAACCGATAAGTAACTTCGTAAAGTGTTCTCGTGTTTAGTTTGTGTATGTATTACTAAGCAAAGCTTCATACATCATGAACACATTGTATTCAGCAACTGTACTTGTTCTACATGCACATTTGTGTTTTACTCTATCTGTAGAAGTAGTTAAATCAAATTGCAGGGACCCGGAAGCTGCTATCGTTTTCATTCCCGCAAAGGATATACATGGAGATAGATATATACCCTTAGGGAAGATCAAACAACAATATAAGATACATATAAGACTCTCTGTCATTTAAATAGTGGGCCACGGTACGACGGAATACGTCTCAGGCAAGGTATATTGTAATTAAATGATAAATCTTATAAACCATAAAGGAGAAACAAGAATAACAGAGTTAACTCCAATTTGTACGGATTAGATAATCGTTGTTGAACTACTAACTTACGAAATTGCTATTTAATGACAATTGACTCTCTCGTTAGGTAAATCTTGGTCTTCAGAAATCCTAAATCGTCCACCACGAACTCAATAAACTTAAATGTCTTATCAAAAAAGGATGTCGGATTGAAGCACACAAGAAATTTTCAAGACACACCAAAAAAAAAACATAATATATCGAAAGAACGACGTTAATCATTGGTGAATTGGTGTTTAGATAACTTCCAGAATATTTCCTGCATGTTCAGGACGAGAACAAATTAACAAATAAAGATAATAATACAATACGAAGGTCTTGTAAAAGGGGGTTGGCCGGGACGAAGGGCGGGAAATTGGGAATGCCACTGGTAAATGAAGGTATATTGGATAGGGACGGAAATAAAGCCTTGCACCAGGCTACATAGAGAACCCTGAAATAGTAACAGTGTTGCAAGGGTTCTTAACGTGCTGAGAGCGTGGCACTCTTTCTCTACACGAGGCATCGGATTTAACGTTCCCATCCTGATCAGAAGTTGATGCAAGTTTATACATTCCGCACAGCCAAACGGACGCCCAACTTTGGCAAACGGTTTACTGATGGTCGAAGAAGACCAAGGGATGACCATATTTCTATACCCCAGTCAATCCTTGGAGTTTCGTTTTTGATCATTTATCAAGTATAATATTAGAATGCAATTAACATTATTATGAAATTTCTCGATTAAATTTGCATAATCTAACGTAGTTTCATAAAAGGACTTAATTCATTCAAAATCTTAATTATATAATGTATGCCCCGCCTACGATAGTAGAAGCTCTTTTTTATGGTTTGTGCGGCCGTCTGTTATGGTAGTTTATCAGGAAGGTGTTGTCTGGTCATAAGGACTTGAAACATTATACACATGTTCATTCAAATTTCATGCAAACTACGATTTGACCCCAATTATACGGTTTACTGAACATAGGTCATAGGTCAAATTTATTTGTTCAGTGTATGTTCAATGGTGTTAATATGTCCTTTGATTGAGTTAAGCTATTTCAGTTGATATTTTATAGTGTGTCTTTCTATGTTGTGATGTTACACTATTGTTTCAGAAAAAGGGTGAAAGTTTGGTACCATTAAAACGTTTAAACCCGCTGCATTTGTTTGCACCTGTCCTAAGTCAGGAATCTGATGTTCAGTAGTTGTCGTTTGTTGATGTGGTTCATAAGTGTTTCTCGTTTCTCGTTTTTTATATTGATTAGACCGTTGGTTTTCCCGTTTGAATGGTTTTACACTAGTAATTTTTTGGGGCCCTTTATAGCTTACTGTTCGGTGTGAGCCAAGGCTCCGTGTTGAAGACCGTACTGTGACCTATAATGGTTTACTTTTATAAATTTTGACTTGGATGGAGAGTTGTCTCATTGGCACTCATACCACATCTTCTTATATCTATAGAAATGTGATAGTTGGAAACTAATATATTCCCAGGCAGGTTACAGCTTTAAGTTGGGGTAGTTTACCATGAAGTTTTAAGTTTTGGTAACATCAATTTAAAACGTAGAACACATGTAATTTTCTGTTAGGTAAACTTAAAAAAAATTATGACAATTTACTATTTTTACATGGGCATAAGATAGTGCGAATGGGACATGGTGTCCCCTGACAGATATTCTTTTTCTCCTATATATTTTATTCGTTTATCTTTTACTTAAAATGAGGGACGCCACTGATGAAACCAGAAGCTGCCAATACTTAATAAAATCAGATTAACATTATAGTTTTTGTAATCAAATGTCAAGTTTTCTGTGGGTTTTTTTCTCGTTTTTTTATAAAATGAAACTTTAGCATTTGCTTAATCTATTTAGAACGAAAGCAAGATAAACGACCAACTGTTTTTTTTTTACTTTACAAATGTAAATGACTTAGTATTTTGCAGCTGAGGAAATCATACGGCGAAGTGATTTGAAACTATGGGTTGCCATCTTTGATGAACAACCATTTCTTGGCGACATGCCAGTGGCATTTCTACTGGCATTTACACATTTAAAAACTCATGGATACAGAGGAAAGTCAACTTTCCTAGCTGGACATGGAGACGGAGGTTAGATTACATTCCTTAGTTTGACCGACTGCATTTTTCATATGAAATATATATATTAAAATAAATCAAATTGTAAGCAAGATGGGTAACACTCATATCCAAACACATAGTTGTTTACTTTTTACACATTGTGACTTGGATGGAGAGTTGTTTCATTGGCACTCATACCACATCTTCTCATTTATACATAGACAGAGCAGAGGAGAAGACAGATTTTCTTGGTATTTGGTCTCTCTATTTATATATATATATAACTCACATATGATAAAAATGAATTTACACAATAATACAAAAAAAAAGCAAATAAATTAGATAATCTTATAACAGACAAAAATACAAGTAAGGTAAAGTTTGTGTTACCAACACATCAAACTTGAAATAAAGGATACAACATACACAGTTAGGTCCGCCTCATATCTTGACTTACATTTAGAAATTGACAATGAGGGTCGGTTGAGAACAAAGCTATTAAATCAAGAGTTCCAAGTGGTGAAGTTAACATCATCCATTCGACAAAGGAGGGACGAAAGACAATTTAGACGCATATTGCCAAATTATAATTTTGAAGCCAAAGCAGAAAGTCTTGTAAAAGCCTCAGTGATAGACAATGAAGATTTAATGACCTACTTGTGGATTCATTTTTATTCGTGGGATACCAATTTTTATGAACTTCTATTTTTAGATTTAGCATTAAAATCAAAATAAATACCCTAGTATAAGACCGCATATTGACTTCTATAGATGTGGTATCTGGATTAACTGTATTGCTGGGTCGTTTTACTAAAATTCAATTACATTTTTTATATACATATTATCTATTTTCTCTTCCAATATCTTAAATTCCGTTTCTAAATACTTTTGAAATTTCATTGATCAACACTTATTCTGGAATTTTTCGCTGTTCTTCACGGCGTTAGCTTATATGAGTAAACTGTCTGACAGGCATTTTATCGTGTTTTATATATCCCTCGAGGAACATATGTTGACAAATTCGTCCTTATACTTACACACAGACTTTTTGACTATCTAGAACTGTTCTCGTAAAATACACTATTAAGAACCTGCAAAGTCCAGCTAATACCAGAGTGTCCACTAACAATTATTTATTTTGAAGGTCTAGTGGCTGCTCGTTTTGGCACTTTTTCAAGTCACCTTCTTGGCGGAGTTTTGTTGTATTCTTCATATCTGCCGAGTGGAAGTCTTCTTAAAAAATATCCTACACCTGTTTTGACCATTAGCGGAGATCTAGACGGATTAACGAGGGTTACAAAAATTGTTGACATATTCGAGTGAGTTTTCATAAACAATTATCCTTGATCATAAATTAAACGCGCTTCGTTAGTAATGTTGGCTTCATGAACTGAACAAGTCGAACAAGAGCACGATAGCACTAGATTTTATACCTAGATTGTAGAAACTGTTTTAAAATATGACTTTCTTGACGTCAAAATATCGTAATTGCAAAGAAAATTACAATGGCAATTCAATTTCTTTTTACATTTCTTTGTAATGAAGATGTTCGATGAATGGTCTATATGCCAAATCCCTTATTGACTGTAATAAGAGATCCATTTTATAAGTTGTTTCCCTTAGTAGGGACAAATATTTCTATTGACAACGGAGAGCTAGCGAAAATAGCAAATTTGTCTGTGCATAATGACTTTTCTTTAAGTTTTAAAATCTTTTAACTATATTTAATCAATCAATCAATCAATTACATTACTCTTTTGTTTCGCTAAAAACTTTTGATTTGATATCAATAGTTGTTTTTCATTAAAACTTGAATAAAGCGCATATATATAATACGTTCATGCTTTATAAAAATAAGGAGATATTGTATGATTGCCAATGAGACAAATATCCACCAGAGTTCAAATGACGTGGATTTTGGCAATAATAGGTAACCATATGACTTTCAACAGTGAGAAAAACCCTTACCGTATATATAAATAAGAAGATACGGTATGAGTGCCAATGAGACAACTATCCGTCCAAGCCACAATGTGTAATATTAAAAGCTATAAAGGGCCCCAAAAAGACTAGTGTAAAACAATTCAAACAGGAAAACCAACGGTCTAATCTATATAAAAAACGAGAAACGAGAAACAAGTATGAACCACACCAATAGTCACTTATAAAAGTCACCAACATGAAATACCTAGTCAGCATCCAACGTTGTCCAATATAGAACCAGCAAAGGTAAACAACGTGCCTCTTAATAAAAATTCTATGGAAAAGTTCAAAAAAAATTCAATACTTTGAAATGTAACTTTTTAGTTTATCGGTATTTCTTTAATAAAAAAAATGATACCACTATTAATTTCAAGGATTAGATCATCATTTCTAGTTGGTATATACAAAATAGAATTATGTATTTTATTCAAACTAATGAGAACAAAAATTCAGTTATAGACTGTAGAACTAATTTGATGTAATTGGCGCTAAAATGAATATACTGTCCCACACCATCAAACTCGTTGACGGTTGTCTTCGTTTTTATCTGAATTAATTGCCTAGATTGTTCGCTCTATTTCTACATAACTAATTTCCGGCAGTTTCTATCTACGACAGTTCGGACATCAAATCATCATATAACTACGGGTATTTTATTGTATTGAAAGTATTTTGAAATGATACATGTATCTGTTAACTTATTCCATAACGAGCAGAAGTAAATTAAACCAATTTACAAAATTTTAGAGAGTTACAGGCAGATATTGCACAAAACCCAACACAGAAGTACAAAACACCCGTAATTGTAATGGAAGGTGTAAACTACGGACAATTTGCTTTCGGCAAACTACCATGGTGGAACGCTGAACACGATTTAACACCAGAAGTGACACACTTAGATGCTTATCACACTATAGCTGATTACACAAGCGCATTCGTGGTATCTGCACGAAACGATACAAAGACTAACTTGACAGCGGCTCATGCTTTTCTGGAGCAGGGGTACTCAAATACTCAGATATTACTGCAAGTAAGTTAGGTGGATATACTACTATTCTATGGTAATATAATTTGATAAGCAAACAAATTAAAAAAAAATAACCGTCAATTTGACGCTTGTTTGATAATTCATTGACGGAAAATGTGTTTTTGATAATGGTTACTACTGTATTGTTGTTTGAAAATTATTTTGGCATGCATTATTGAAGTAATATCTATTTACCTGTCCTAGAACAAAAAAACACATTTTTTTTTTATTTTGTTACTCTATGAAATGACAGCCGTCTACCTTAGAGTATTAGAGGGCATGATTGCCGGTTTTTGATATTTCATTAAGTTACTCAAAGCACTCTTTTATACTGTATTATTTAGTATTCTCCAACTTCAACTTGTGTTTTTGTCTTCTGTAATACGGATAAATAAAATGCTATCTGGCCTGATTTGTATTGTACGTTTGATTTCATAAAATTAAATGTGAGATAATCGTCACACACATTTTGACCAGGTACATGCACACGAAGCGGGTTTCAACTTGCCTTTTTTGGCACCTAATCCTTCCCGCATTAATCTCGATCAGAAGGATCTTTGTACTTTATAGTTGAATTGAACGGATAAAAATTAGAAGATTAGTTACTAAAAAAGCTAGTTTTGCCCCAATCCACCATTTAGATGCTCGTGTCAAAGTTTGGAAATCTCGTCGGTTGTTTGTTCTTTTTAGTGTAGGTGGCGCTTTGTGCGATTTCGTACTATTTAACTGTTGAATATTAGTTTATTAGTGTGTGTAAGTTTTGTTTGAAGCTTCCTTCATCAAAGTACATCAGTGACTATAAGGTGACATTAATTTGATTAAAATAAGTATTAATAAAAATACCGAACTCCAAGCTAAATTAAAAAAAAGGTGAATAAAACCTGACAAAACAATATGCTTGACTATATCAGCCAACAGAACGAATGAGAAACAACATTCATATTCCAGACTTGTAACAGGCATTTTCCGAAGGAAATAGTGTATAAAACCTGGTTTTATAGCTGGCTTAACCTCCCGCTTGAATGACAGTAATTTGAAGTTCTGTAGCCTGGCATCCTAGACAAACCTCCTCTTCGCGCCAGTCTACTGTCGAGCAGTGAGCCAGGGTCCTAGTCTAATAGTTCCGTCATATTTACAAAATTTTACGAGGAACACAAACAAACATAATTGGTTTACGTGACAATAATTGTGTTGAAAGCCGTGATTGTTACATAAGATAAAAACTACCATGTACAGATAAAACAATTGAATGTTTATTCTCGTTTCAGCCTCTTTCTCAGGTGAAGGCTCTAGACCAGAACACAGAGTCAGTATCTCACTGGACAACTACTGCCCAACAGCTTATTGTTAATTTGCTCAATTCCACATCAGTTGAGGTATATATTTTTCTTATTTCGTATTGGCTCTCTACTTGAGAACCAACTGTCAGTACATACAGGTACAATAGCTTACAATTTTCATATTTCAGTAATGAAGTATATATTTCCATTTAGTTTAGATATAATATTTATTCAGGCAAGTCATCACATAACAATATAATATACTTGAAATAAATATCAAGAATTCAGAATAAAGCAAAGTTGCTTTTATAAATATGCCTCATAGTTCACAAATAATGCACTGATTGAGCAAAACATAAATACAAATATTGGCATGCTCTGTAATAAATATATGAATATGTACAAAAATAAGTTAAAATACTAGAAGGAAAAAGGAAGTTAAGACCATGCCTAATAAAAAAAAACTCCGGCGGACAATGAAAATGGATTACAGAAAAAATCAAAACAAAGAAACACAAAGGCTTATAAAAATCGGTGATGAACTCAAGTACCCTGGATATATTTGCAGTTAATGCTCCAATATTGGAATACATTGTGTTACTCGTAATATACATTTTGTACATATATTCATCATTAAATTAGATTCGATGATACGTCACGAAAAATAGAATTTATTTCCGTTACGGTTGCCCAAGTCGGAATGGCGATCTTAGAATTTTATTTAAGTGATCATTTCAATTTAATAATTACGAAGGCAGGCACAATATTTTGGATATCGCGTAAGAATTTTGTTCAAAAAACCATTATTATCTACGGTATACATAATGATTATTTTATATGACGTGTGAGAAAATATTTTGATATAGTAAAATAATATTTTATAACTTTTTATATTAAGTTTGTAAATCATGAAACTGATTCCGAAAATTCTGGAAATGAAAAACAACTAAATCCCTCAAGTCTGACAGACGATCTTCAGATTGTCAGCTCTACATCAATAATGTTTGATAAAAGACAGAAATATAGCTCAGTGTTTCCACAGAGTCCAGTGCAACTAAAAGCTACAATGACAAGTCAAGAACTAGTGAGAAAGATGATAGGAACAAACCAGTTTGGAGATCCTGCATCATGCCAAGATATTAATCAGGTTTATTTGTAGTTCTTCAATAAAATATTGAAACTGGAACGGCAATTCAGGGGACTAGGTTGCTCTATTGTGAACTTGCATGAAATGAATGTGTCTAAACAAATAAATTGAACATTCATCTACTTATTGGTTGTTGGTGTTTAACGCCACTTCCAGCACGCTTGACTATATCGTGGGGCCAATCTTTATTGGTGGAAGAAGCCTGAGAACTGACGACCTTAGACAGAAACTTACATTCCTAGTCAATTGAGAAAGATGTTGAGCAGGGTTCGAACTCTCAACCTTAGTGATCGCTGTATATGGACTACAATGTACTTAAACCAATCATCAAAGGAATAATCTAGGGGTCTGAATGTGTGTATTGGGGTCTTGATTTCTATATTCTTTAATTTTGAGTCATTTTTGTTCTATTATTTATTTTTTATTTGCCCATTCTTCTCTATTCTTTATATTTTAGCACCATTTAATTTTCTTTTCTTTATTTTTTTGGCCTACTTTTCTGTATTCTTTATTTTTAACCCATTTTCTGTAGTAATTGGCCCATTATTTTCTATTCAGTTAATCCCATCCATACCCGAATATATAAGTCAAAAAGTGTCAAAGCATTTAAAATAACTTTACATTTATAATATACACGCACTATGGTATGATCGTCATATATGTTCGCATATTATATTGAAAATGATCAAGCTGTTAGTAGTATAGTTTCCATTACATGTAGATAAATAACGAGATTTAAAAGAAGAATATTTACATTTTGCTTTCACCCCATATATAATTTACTGACCCCATATATGTCGTATTAGCCCACTAGCACACTATGTAACTAATAATGTTACCATGTTGTCAAAAATATACTATCGTTCCACTTAAAACATTCTGACAACAGTTTGCATATTCGACGGCAAATAATGCTTTACAATTTATTTTGTTTCAATTCATACCTTTTGTTTTATGTGTGTAGAACATAGACATTTAAGTATATAAAATGAATTCATCTGTTTTTGGTTAAATTTGAAGGATCATATGACTTAAACAATATTATTTAGACATGCACGTTGATTTTGTTTTATCTACTGAAAAATTCTTCGACCCTACACGTATCTCATAGCTTTGATACACTCAACTGGTGTATCCTGAAACATTTACGTTACCATTAAAACATGCTCTCGGCAACTGTAATATTTAGAAGTACACAAAAATTTATATGTATGAATATAATAGAAATGTGATGGAAAATTGAAAATAAAATCATTTAGGTTGTGCAAAATAGATTATCCACATTACCTTTCCGAGCTGCCCATACATGCAGAAGCCAGATCTAAAGTGTATTCTTTTATTTGAAAAAATGAAAGACATACGTTAGACCATTTATATATAACTCGGACATCAAAAAAATAACGAATCGCACCGATAATCCATTTTGAACCACTGGATATTTCAAAATTTCTTCCACTGTGAAAGAGTTTTTTAATTTAATTTATTTCAGGATGCATTTACGCTAGCATTTTCGAAATCATCGAAGACTGCACAGTCAAGGTATCAAGCAATGGGGCGACCAATCAAGTTTCTAGGTGACATAAACGTGTCGTCAAAAGACCAATGGAATCGAGCTTTCTTACATTTGACATATAACAGTACGGGACTTTTTGTGGGAGCAACTCGATTCCACACGACCGAAAACAACACCGACACCACTATATCTGGACAAGATGACTGTACTTTATTATCACCATACAGAGTAATGGAATGGATATATATTGATGCATTAAAGAATTCAAAGCCACAACTCAATAAAAGTTTTTGACAGGATAACTAATTGAGTGTTGTTATGGTTTGCATATTGCATCTAAATAAAGGAACTAAGCGATGAATTAATTAAACAATTTGGCATGGTGACCATTTTTAAATTTAACGTTACGCTTTTATATATCAGATCGTGGGTGTTAGGTGATGTACAATCTTTGAGACTGTTTTGCTGGAATAATTCAAGAGAAGTCCAAACTTCATACTAGTATATATTTGCTTTTTACATGTCAAAAAAAGAAAGGGTATTTATTGTGTTTCCATTCATGACATAAATTCACAATTCGCACAGGAAAAAATTCAAAATCAAAGGAACAACGCTTTTATTTCTGTTCATTATTTCATAGTCACAGTGTGGTCTTCGACATTGATAAAACAAGCTATCACCTCATTGCAAATTCAAGACAGACCCGAGCACCTGTATGAGCGGATTTTTTTCATACATGTAGAATACATGTTGCTACATCGAAAAACAAGTAGTTAGTATACAGGAATTTCTCATTGACATTGACTCATTTGAATTTGAACTTGGTTGAATTTTCCTTCCAGCAGGCTGTCAGCATTCCTATGGGAACCAACTGCACCTCTCCTGGTCGACCTTTTCTTATTTTCATATGAGTTGATGTCCTTCAGACACTTGTAAAAACAAGAAGATCAAAGAAACTAGATCATTTTATTTCATTTACAGGTATATTGACGATGTTCTTTCCATTATCAATCCAAACTTTTCTGATTGGGACCTATTAACATATCCTCCTGAACTATATAGCTAGAGATTAAGAAAAAACAGACACAGCTTCTTCCGCCTGATTTCTAGACAATTACCCCAAATTAGACAACAGCGGTCGTCTCAGTACCAGAATCTATGACAAACAAGACGATTTCAATTTTGAAATTATTTAAATTTTCCTTACCTTTGCAGCATTATACCAACTTCACCCGCGTATGGAGTATACATTTCTCAACTCATACGATATTCAAGAGCTTGCAACTGTTACTTAAACTTTGTGGAACGTCATCGGTGTCTGAGCAAAAACTTAATTAGTCAGGGTTTTGTCAAAGTTCTTTTTCTCAAAAAGGTTCATGAGAAAGTACCAAGATCTAATAGATTCATATTCAGTGTTTACTTCACAAATAATACAAGATAGTCTTCAGTTATAGATTCTAGGTGCCGATGTTGTTCATCGTTTTGTTTACTTAACAGTTTTCCCTTTATTTGTTTCCGTGCTATTACGTTTCTTTTGTTCGTATGGATTTTGACGTGACAGGGTAATTATGCATCTCACTATCGTGTATTTGACTTTGTGCGTTCCAGCTGCAGGTGGATCCTGAGGTGCGATTCGTAGGCAAGAGATTTTTACATTGTTGTTTTCATTATGTGTACCCTTGTATTTATATTTTTCTCAACTTGTACATTACCGGGAACGTGTATACAATATATGGTATGTAGTATCAACTACAAAAACTTTTGTTATCGGCGTCTTTGTCAATATACTTTCAACTACAAAAACTTTTTTGTTGACGTCATTGTCAAATTTACTTCTGGATCTCAATTATTATCACATTAACCTATTAATATAAAAGTAAGGAGATGTGGTATGATTACCAATGAGACAACTATGCACCTAAGTTCAAATGAACTGGATGTTAGCAATTATAGACGATCATTCTGCCTTGGAGTTAGGTATTTTTGTTGTACTATTTTACGCTATATGATAAAGAAGCATGCGCACTGATAATATATTTCACGACAAGAATATGCAATTGCGATCACACGTATTCTGGGACATATGATAGTCCCAGGTTTATTCTAGACTCAAATTCGTTGCTAGGTGAAATCTAATGTTAAACGACTTGCATCAATTGCTTTGATTCCCAATTCCTAATTCACAAAAACTCATTTAATCCTGAATATGAATTTTTTGTGCCGTGTAAATGGGGTATCATAATTTCAATAGATTTATTTTCTTAAAAAATGGAAACTGTTCACCTCATTAAGATTACAATTCATTGATTTACAAGGCTTATCTATATATCACTATTTAATCAGGGTAGAGGTAGTGTAGATAAATTCAATGTCCAATTTCCACGTGAAGTGTAACTTTGTATGATGCAATCTGAGACATACATTATTTATTTTGTAAAAATATTTCCTTGCTCTATTGGTACTGTACACGTATACCTAACAGGCCAGTTCAGTTCAGTTTCTTGTATATTCCTCCATTAATTGTGGAGCACTACCCATAGGGTATAATTGTAGCAACTATATACACCTTAGAACATAAGGAATCATTTAATTATGTACAGATGACTGAATTTAGGCAATAATAATTACTAAAAATTAATATTATAACTAATTCATAGGATTGTCATCATGAAATTTTAAATATAATATTCATAATGTGCTAAAGTGTAAGAATAAGTTAAGTAAGAACTGGATATATTTACAAATAAGAATTTAGAATTCAAGTGGTCTTAAATTAAACTTTCTTATAATTGTTAGTTAAAGGTGCTATACGTACATCAGAATTTATAATGAGAAGGTTATTTTATAGGACTTATGTAAAAGGGTTGGGGTTTAGAGCAATTCATCAAATATACATAAGTTTACCTTCACAGTTTAAAGTTACCTTATTTCGGATCTTATCATTATTCTTTAAAGGTAACTGGATATCTTAAAACTTTGCAAAATTTTTTATTTAATTTAGGTCCTAATACGTCATAAAATAGTAAGATGGAAAAGTTGGGAACTATTTTATTTAAAAAATTTTTATTTATACTGTACTTGTGTTCAAGTTTTTAATCCTTTTAACAACAAAATTATTTTCATTTACCTGTGTTTAAAGTTATTGCAAATGGATGGTATTTTTGTTCGAGCATATTGTTTTTCTTTAATTGTTTAACATTTCTTACCGATATAACATGTTACTTTTATTATTCTTCCCTTAGTTTATTTATTTTATATTTACATTGTGTCATAGGTCAAATTTATTTGTTCAGTGTATGTTCAATGGTGTTAATATGTCCTTTGATTGAGTTAAGCTATTTCAGTTGATATTTTATAGTGTGTCTTTCTATGTTGTGATGTTACACTATTGTTTCAGAAAAAGGGTGAAGGTTTGCTACCAATTAAACGTTTAAACCCGCTGCATTTGTTTGTACCTGTCCTAAGTCAGGAATCTGATGTTCAGTAGTTGTCGTTTGTTGATGTGGTTCATAAGTGTTTCTCGTTTCTCGTTATTTATATAGATTAGACCGTTGGTTTTCCCGTTTGAATGGTTTTACACTAGTAATTTTTTGGGGCCCTTTATAGCTTACTGTTCGGTGTGAGCCAAGGCTCCGTGTTGAAGACCGTACTGTGACCTATAATGGTTTACTTTTATAAATTTTGACTTGAATGGAGAGTTGTCTCATTGGCACTGATACCACATCTTCTTATATCTATGGTATATGTGTTTCTGAATGCAACTTATAAGAATGTTTCCTTTGTTGTTCTTGAGAGTAAGTATCACTTTCTTAAGACCTCTTATATACTGACAATAATAATACCATTCTCATCTCAAATCAATCAAAATATTCTGCAGGAAAAACTAAGTTTTGAAGAAAATCTTGGTTTCATATAGATGAATGTCATAAACAGAAAGTTTTTCTGGAAGAAATTTTGTTCTCTTGTTTGAATATATATATCCTCAAATATCCCATGTGTTAACCTAAAACATATCCTTGTGCACAACTTTATTTACTGGTTTGAACATGTTAATTAGGCGACAATATTGATTTTTATTATGTCATTTGTAAGATAAACAATCATTGTTTTTTTAAAGTTAAGGTTCAAAATATGATATTTCTATACACGTTTAGAACACCAGCCAACAATATATTGGGAATTTTAAAGTGATTAATTTATTTTTTATATAGTAGGTCCCTTTAGATATAAGTAAGTTAATTATTATTTATATATTTATAATGTTTTAGCGTGTGCACTATTTTAGTATCTATTGTATAATTATTCCAGCTCGTATTTTTGACAATTTGTATAAATGAAATAAAATTTAAATTGCCAGTTATTGTCGACCTGAAAAAACATCAAAAAAGGTCTAACCTCGGGCTTGGGGATCATAACCTGTTTTGTTCGAATGTCTCCTCATTTTGATTATCACTTTCCTTGAACTTTTTCTAGTACATTTTGTCTTCGTTAAATGAATAAACAACACCTATCTTGATTTCAC